TAGAAAAGATGGTATTTAGTGTATGATAGTAGGGAAAATAGTTATTGTAAAGATGTGGTGAAAACCTTTTGACAAGTGAAGTTGTCAAGTATCTGAAGTATGTAGGATAGTATATCAGTGTTTCATCCCTAAACTGTAAACACAGACAGTGTTAGGTGTGGTTGGGGGGTGAAAATCATCAGTACAGCCGCCTAACCACCATGTGGGAAACTGAATAACGTAGTGTTTTGGCAAAGATTAGAAAAATGATAGAAGAAAATGGGAAAGGAAGAAAAAAGAAAGAAAATCAGAAAAGGAAATGGAGAATAACGTGCAGGACGCAGTTGTCGGATTTGCTGCGTTTCAGGGCCGGTTCCCCTTTATAAGTTCTTCTTTGCCATTACACTGAATTCGAGCTGATTTGGTAGGTGCGAGACAGTTGTCGGAGACATGCAGTATCTGTTGGTGCGGGAATTTGTATGCCAGATTTGGTGCGAACTAGATGTCTCTTAATGACACAGCACCACAGTTCCATCGAATATTCATAACAGCTTGATGGAGGATAACTGTACTGACCGTCGCGACACACTGTGGACCGTGGGCAATAAATGGGGGCTCGAACGGGTCCGCATTACTGCTCAGTTTTGGGGAGGCCGTACAAGTGAGTCCCCCTCCCATTCACTGCTCTGTCAGTGTTTACAGCTAAGGGATGAAACACCGGTTGCACAATGATTTGTTCTTCCCCGAAATTCCCAAACTTATTCTTCGGACTCTTTGAGGGGGAACTTGTTTTACATATGCGCCGTCCAGAATGATCATAGCGTTTCTACAGAATCGTCAGTGCTCCTCTCGTTCCTTTCGCTGAAACAGACTGCGTAGCACGTTACTGGCCAAGAGTCGGGGAGTTCACCCATTTCTCAGCTGTGACTGCATATGGCTATTCTCGGCGGACGCGCAGGATGACGTTGGGAGAGAGCATCGGAATGTGGCTCTGATAAGGGATACTCAGAATATAGCATACCATTATGAATTAACAAATTTTATGACAATTTTGATGCATACAGATTACTCAGGCTGATGGATAGGGCGTGATGAAAAGTAGCGCTGCTG